GCATAGGGCACCACGAACCGACAGGATCGACACTGGCGTTCACACCCCTGGACATGTCTCCAGCATGGATAGCCGAGGTAGCCCTACGGAACACGAGGCTTGACGGACAGGTGAAATGGGCAGGCCGGCTTGTTCGCGCCTGAGGTACGGGGCCTAGGGTGGTTATGGTGGAACCTGCCATAAGTGTGAGCAGTTAGACCTCGGAAAATCCCTGCAACAAAGTGTGAACCGGACGCGGTGTGCCCGTCGAAATCCGACTGGCTGATGATAACTCTAGAGCGCAATATCCGCCTTAGGAGGTGACAGTGGATGTGGGCATTTGTTGACCCGTCCGCGCTAGTGACTCGATTTTGCAGTTCCACGGCATCCTTTGTCCAGACATCCAGTTTTTTTCAAAAACACGAGTAGGGGATGACTAAAAAGAGAACGTTTGGTTTTCCTCCAGTCTGTGCACCTCTGTGCTCAGTAAGTATAGACTGTCAGAGAGTAATTCAGTCTGTTAATGAGATCCAGTTCGAGATGGTGGTTGAGTATGAGGTAAAACATTAAACCCACTGCTTGTCAACCCACGGTGAACTAAAATCATCTGCAATTATAGAAGGATAAGAGTCAGTGTGATATGAATTAGCGCATCCGCCAACCTTCACTGCAGAAGGAAGCTTAATGGCGAGGGCCTTGTCCTAAATTCTATGGAGTTAGGTTTACGGTTAAGAAGGCTATAAGTAGGGTTAATATTAGGAGGTTTAGAATTGTGCAAATATTTACCGTATTAACAACACAGGTATATGCTAAAAGCCCAGACAGGCGTGTTTCTACGATCCTATGCCGCTGCCGGACGCAGCTGCTAGGCGTTCGGCTCGTCAGTGGGTCCCCCAGCTTTCACGTGTGTTTTCTGGTTGAAAATAGAGCTCATATACCGTGTCTGAAAGGGTCTGTTTCGAAATATTTGTCCCAAGTCCGCGTATTAGTTTCCTCGTAAATTAAACAAGGCTCGGAGGGTTGGATTTAGAATAAAAGTTAGAAAACGGGAATAGGCGTACCCGTGGAATTTAGCGCGAGGCCACCTGTTGTACGGGGAAGAAGTCCATATTCCCGCGTCCGAGCCCACGGTGTTTTAACCTTCCACTCCTTTTATGGTCATTCATCAGAAGGACGATCAGAAACTTGGCAACAAGACAAATTCGAATCCTCTACCCCCCCCCTCGGCACGTGTCGCCTTCCTAATGCCTATGTCCAAGATCATTTAGTGCAGATGTCTCTAACTCTCTTATAATTTCTGTCTTGGTGTTAATTCTAACAGTGCCTCATTCTCGCCAGAAACGACTATCATGAGTCTTCTGTCGGCCAGCCTTAACAGATACTGACTTCTTCATTAAGACGGCTAGCTTGTCGTCTCCTTCTGTCGCTTCTGCTACTAGTGAAGGATGACAGTTTTTAAAATGCGGAAGTGTTTGCTTATTTCGCGAACAGTTCCTATCTACTGACTGACAGACGGCTAACGGCATTAGTTTTATGCAGCAAGTGTTACTGTCATATGTGACACGAAGACCTCCTCCTCCTCCTCCTCCTCCTCCTCCTCCTCCTCCTCCTCTTCCTCCTAAACAGAAGCTCTTGTGGATGCGCTGGAGCTAAACGGGATCACGGTTGTCCGTGGGAAACTGCATTAAACCTACGTGGAACCCTAACTATCCTCATGCGTGTCCGTGACACGCCCTGTATGAGGCTTTGCACCACGCCAGTCCCCGCAGTTTGGCGGGACTCAGACTTGTTAAATGGGAGAGGGAGGGGGACAATAATGAGAATTCACCCTCATGTTAAACCAAGACATCCCTCTCCATCGGACACTTTACGCGTCTGAAACTATCGAGACAAGCTAAAGGTCCTGACTTGAACGGATGGTAAAAGTCGATCCTTCCTTGAAATATGAGTTGGCCCTTCTTAGTTTGCCTCTCATGTCAGCTCTCACGTGTGTGAGATCCGAAGCTCCGTCCCCTTCCCCTCCCCCACACTTGGAGCATGACAATGCAAATTCGAGGAAGAGGCCGTGTATGGCACGTGTAGACGGGCTATGTAGCCCTGTCAGTCACTGCGCGTATGCAGATGTCCTGTTCTGGCTTTGACCCTGAAAGGTGATACATAGGAGTGGGAGTAGTGAGCCTTACCGCATGACTATCTCTGGCAACAGGGAACCGTACTTCCGTGCGCTACCAAGTATTTTTATATATCGATAGGACACCAATACGCGTACCTTCCCCCGAACTAGCTTCCTATATGGAGCATTTTCTGTGCATTAAAACAAACATGTAACGCAAATACGTCCCATCTCCTCTCCTAAAAGACCCCTGTTGCCACCATTCCCCTTGCTCCAGGCGACCTTGCATCGTAATTCCGGCGGCACACACATATGCGTGTCCAGCGTTTACAGCAGGTGTAAAGTGTTCTCCTTTGCAAAATACGAGCGCCAGGGCAGAATTCAACTATAAGTTTCCGATTTTTATGGGAGATCCTTGCCAAGAATCGTGCCCACGACGAGGTCGCAGTCATTTACTCTAATATTTCAACACAACTACCCTCACATAATGTAGATACGCCGCTGAAAAGTCTGCGTGGCCGTAACAATACACATAATGGGAAAACCTCCACCCGCCTGTTCGTCTTACGTTCTAACACCTGACCGATCATCATCTAACCTCGTGGAACTGAAAGTATTTCAGACATTACGTTACCTGCAAGGTTTTAGAACGGACAGCAAACCGTCCACCCGAGAATAAACTAGCAACATCACACGACAGTTCGTCCGTCGATTTCGACGATGACCACCGTGTGCCCCACAGACTGCATTGTGGGAGCAGGGACGGTGACTTGCGCAGGGGTTTATAGTGCCAGTAGACTTGCGCTGCATCTACCTACACTCTCTCCTCCTCCCCCGCCTGGGCCCGGTGTCAAGACAGAGTCAAGAAGACCGGAGACGGGGGAGGCCGCAGGTGGATGGCTCGGACGGATCTTCGCCTTGGCGCTCCACTCCGCACCCCTGATCCACACACCAATGACCAGGATTTTGACCACAAAACAATGGGGTGGAGGCAGTGGTCCAGTTGAGCGACGAATGCCGACAACAGGGTCCGCCAGCGCACACCGCAAATGTTGGCATTTGTTATTGCGCACAGATAACGCCTGCCAGAGTCCGATGTGGCCCCCGTGTTGGTCCGGCGCATCTAACACGTGGCCCGTTTTGAGGGCACTAGCAACATCACACCAGTGATATTTTTTTTTATCTGTTGGCCGACTCTATCAGCTGTGGTCTCTGATTAGAAGTTTAAGGGTGCATCTAGGCACCAGACAGATTAACTTTCTGCCACGGACTTCTTCTTTGCAGTGTATAAAGTGCCACCTCAGCCGATGTTAACCACGCCGTGGGACTCAATGAAGTGGTTGAAATTCAAATTTTAAGACGTAATGGTGACAACGTCAGGGACTGCCAGGGCAATTTCTGGATCATTTGTCGCCAACTCGTCGCAGGTCAACCCCAGACTCGAGGTTTGAGCCTGGTTAGTCATTAAGAAAAAACGCTCTATCGCTGGGACAGCACTTGACGCGCTACGCTATTTTTTTTTTGTTAAACAGGCGAGGCACCTTTGAGTAATCCAGTTTGAACTTCCCCGCCATAATCCTACCCATTCGCTATTGTCCGGTCCGGTCAACCTCGTTTAGCATGCTCCAGTTCCTAAGCTATCGCGTGTCACGACTTCGCTGTTATCTTATTGGCTGTTTCCCCTGGTCACTTCTTCCACGTGAGCTTTTCCGCACCCCATTGGCACGCCCCGAGCGATTATTGGCTAAAATGCAGGTCTGTCACGCGCACTTTTGTTTAATTGGTCTAAAGGCGAAGAACTTACAATCCAATCATAATGCGGCGGCTGTTCTCGTGGCCTTAAATGCCAGCCGTGCGGTGCCTGGTCAGCCTAAGATTGCGTGGTCATGCAGGCGATCTCACCGGTTGGAACGCGTCTCATTCTTGGTCGGCACTACTACCACCCCTCCTCTTCTTCCACGCCGGTTTTTGCTGGTCCTCCTCAGAGTATTACCTTCGATCCGGCCTCTTTTCCTTCACCGACAATACTTTCCGTTCGTCAACATCCCTTCACTCCCATTGCTCGCACTGCGGAACCTCCGAAGCGAAAAACTCCGAGAGTCAAATGCCCAGTTGAGCAGAGAGAATACACTCGACGAGTACGTGACTACAATTTCGGATAGAAGCCTTTCCTTATTTTAATAACGTTCGTTATTCCTGTGATGTCGAACGGAAGGACTTTTACCTTCGGGTGCCCTCAGTTTGCTATTTGTAGACTTATGCTTAGCGTGCTTTGGAAGGCCCCTGCTTTGGCGAATAAGCAAGGATAGCCCCAACCAGCTTACGTCTTACTTAATTTTTCTGTCATATCGCAACGCCAGTAGGTAGCTCAGTCACATAGAGTGCGATTAAATTCACGATCTCTGGTCGAGGCCTCTTAACTCAGATGTTTAGAGTTTTGCCCTTGCTGTCGTGGATTCGAATCCCACCGAGGCTGCCGTGTTTTTCACAACTGGGTGAAATGAATCATTCAGATAGGACAGGAACACCAATAAGTACAGAGTTAATGTCATTTTCACGCATTCAAGCTGCAATAATTGGAGGTTTCCTTCGTCGTCTTGTGTTTTTGTCACTTACGAAGCCGATGTGAGGTTAGCTGAGGACCATTCGACACAGCTCCCGAAACCTACAGGACCAGCGTACTGACTCCTATCTAGTGTTTTTGGTAGCATATATGACAGACTTTGATGGGTCCACAGGAAATGCAAGTTTTGCCTTCCGAATTTTGATAATATCTTCTCCAGTCAGAGCAAATGAGTGAGTGCCCATTTAAGCAAGGTTGCCCACTTTGCGGATGCAGGTTGGCGGCCCCGACTGCCGGTTTGCCAAGCAATAACGGACGTCTTTGGTGATACATTGGCCAGTTTTTCTATGACCTCGTAATCCCTGTCAGGGGGAGGGGTTCCTGCGTGCCTGTGAAATGCCATTTTGAAACTCGGTGTAGGGCAAGGGCTTGTCGATGGGCTGCATAGACATGTGAAATTGGGGCTTTAGTTAGATGTCAGGCAAGCGGCTTTCTCGACCAAGACTCACTTAATCTGTGTTTTGGAATTACCTTCCTTCTTTTTGTTAAATTAAATTTCTCATTTTCTTCCGGGGTTTAGATCAAGAAGCAGAACATGGAGCGACGACGAAGAGCCAGTATTTCTGACAAAATCAGTTCAATGTACTATCTCGCTTCCTCAATGATTGGCGTGGATGTAAGTAGAAGCTTGTCACTTACGTTCTTTCTTCTAAAGTTTACATGTATCACGAGGAACGACTGGAATATGAAGAAACAAGTCCAGTTAATCCGGATCGGCTGTAGGATAGAGCAGGAGTACTAAAAGGGTTCAGATCAAGCACTTTGTTTGTCTGGAATGGGCGGTTTCTCTGTCAAAAGATTGGAGTTTCTGTTTTATTTAGTCGCGTTTCCGAATTTCTGAGCAGACCTGGATTATATGCGTTGCTAGTCTACCTACAGCCCGTTTTGTTTAGTCTTTTTCAAAGTCAATGTCCGAATCTGGGATACATTATTCGACACAAACCTTCGGCCAGACACGTTTCCAGGGTTTTGACTAATACACATGCTAGCGTTCACATACCACCGCCTGTGGGTTGGCAGAATATGACTTTCACGCTTTTATTCCACTGATCTAATGGATTCCAGCTCAGACACACGGATCGAATCGATGAATTTACTTTAAGTTTGTGCATTTATTTTTTCGGAAAATCGAAACTCCTAACTTAAAAAACTTAAGTTTTCGCTAGAAAGCACATATTGGACTCTGGTGGGCTGATGTCATGCAGCGGTACAACATCGAAGAAGCGCGTGCCTGGGTGTATGAAAAATCAACCAGTCTTCTTTTTGCCATTTACTGACATGCATAACACTACCGTGATTGTGTTCCCACCACCACATGTGTCTGACCGTTTTGTTTTCAGCATGGCTATCGCGTGGGGAAAACTCTTGTCGCTGCATTGCGGCATCGCCATAGCGGCCTTATCGGAGGTCAGTGAGGCAGTAGGACTACCGGTTAGGCTTCGTGCCGGTCGGGCAGCCGAGACCGAGTAACCATTGGATGCATTATCGATCCTTTATTTTTCACCCTAACTCCGGCGTACAGGCCCCGCGACATTCGATCGTTATTGCGCGCAGCTTGTTCACACAATCGCGTGCCCTGGCAACCAGCGCGTGAACATCGATTTAGCTGTACGAGGGCATGCACCTGGGGTCCTATCGGCCTGGCAACTCGTGGCACTGAGTCACGCACTCTGTTGCTGACGCCGTTGGCCCTAAATTTCGATCGCGTGGCCTCGCACATTAACGCTCTAACGCCGTTTTTTTTTTCATTATTACAGTCGCACCGACAGCAACCGCAGAAGGTCGAGAAGGCAGACATTCTGAGTTTCTGCCTTGGCGTTTTGAACGGTTTCTCGGAGCTCCTACAGACCCGACCAGACCTACAGGAGAAGGTTAAAAATCTCTACAGTCTCGTCAAGGACAGCCGACCTGCTGTGCCAGAAGAGCAGTCCTCCGGAACGAATCCGCCACCAGGACCAGTATCACCCCACAGGACGCCTGCCACAGAGGCCGTAAGAAGGCCCTCAGTCGCCGACAGCGGTATTGAGGACTGCAGTGTACTTGACCTCTCCAAACCACCAGCCCCGGTGGAGCCACAGGCGCGAGACGTCTCCTTTACTATTTCTCCCATTGCAATACGATCGCGAGACGAGTGTACCGCGTTGCCCCTTCGGTTTCGAATTAAACGCCACAGGAAATCGTCCCCCGATGGTGGGACCCTTAACCCCACCTGTGTTCCCTGTCCTTCCGAGAACTCTGCAGTCCCGGGTAGAGCCCCTCTATGGCGACCTTATCTTGACTGAGAGCATTCTCTGCCAATTGCTTTTGACCCCAACTGTGTATATGCATGTACAAAGCATCCTTGAGTTTTATTTGACACTTTTTTTACTTGTTTTACCTCTTAATACAAAAGAAATTAACAGAAAACCATGCTATCGTATTTCATTGCGTTCCTTTCTCCAAGTTAAAGTCCAGTCAGTTGCGTAGGCGAGGGAAGTAATACCGATAAGTAAATAGGAGACTGGAGTAACCTCTTCGGGCAAACTATAGGTTTTAATCGTTGAGGCGTGTACTCGTGCCATGCAGGCTGCAGATGGGTCCTTCGTTTGTCGATCGGGCCTTATTCAGAGACAAAGCATTGTATGTTATTACCGAATGACCATTTCTGGCTTATTAGCCGTCGTCAGCCAGTCATACCCAACCCCGAAGTGTGGAACACCCGAGGCTCGAACTCGCAACCCGTTAGTTCGAAGTCCACGCCTCTAACCACTGAGCCACGAGCCCGTTGCCCTGTCGATTTTCGATCGGGAATGTACAACGGTAGGGGGCGCTCACCGATCGTTCTTACGGAGCTCACTCGTTCCGTTGTGCCTTACGGACTCTCTCTCGAGCCCAAACAGCAGCCGCACAGCGGAGCATTATACAGGCAGAATGTTGTTACCGACAAAGACAAAGAAGACTGGAATGGCCATTTCTGGCTTATTGGCCGTCGTCAGCCAGTCATGCCCAACCACGAAGTGTGGATCACCTGAGGCCCGATCTCGCGACCTGTTAGTTAGAAGTCAAACGTCTAATAGGTCGCGAGTTCGAACCTCAGGTGTTCCACACTTCGGGGTTGGGTATGACTGGCTGACGACGGCTAGTAAGCCAGAAATGGCCATTCCAGTCTCCCTTGTCTTTGTCGGTAATAACATTCTGCCTGTATAATGCGCCGCTGTACGGCTGCTGTTTGGGCTCGAGAGAGAGTCCGTAAGGCACAAAGGAACGAGTGAGCTCCGTAAGAACGATCGGTGAGCGTCCCCTACCAGTGCATTGTCTTTCCGTTGTGTCTTGGAGATGGCGTGGCGACGATTGTTCAAAATCGAGAAACACTATCGTTTTTGCTCCATCATCGGTGTCTGTCCTCTTCTAAATATTTCCAGTTATGATGCCAGTCTGTTAGAACAGGAGAGACCACATACTGCTGTTACTGCTCTGCAACACATACTTGTCACGTGTTTCACATGTGGAAGTTACTTGACCCTTTCATCGAAGGTGCCTCAGCTCGAAGAATAACGTGCGGTTGTATGCCTTCTGCATCTAAAACCTTCAACCCCTTTTCTTTTGATAGGAGATGGTCATGAACAGGTGGTTAGAGGATGGGGGCTCATAGTTAAACAGTAGACCTGGCGATCTCGTGCGCTAGGGAAGCAAGGCAATGTGCCATGGTGGATTAGTGTCCTGAGACTTAACCACCCAGAAGACCAACAGTGAGGCGAAGTGCCCATATTATGAGGAACGAGAGAATACGTTTCACGAATTACACGAAAGTTTTCCTACCACTCGACTGAAGGGTTTTGTTCCGTCCTACGAAGTCATTCGGTCGAGCTTCTGCGGCGAGATGGTGGGCCCTGGGGACCATGCGATCGATATGAACTGGTTCCTGTTTGCTGTAGCCGTTCCTGGCTATGGCCCTACATGCACCAGATTGCACAGTGAATTTAGCTATCGTCGGAAGGGTGAGTTGGGTGGTTAGGGTGTTGGACTTCTAATCAGCGGGTCGCAAGATAGAGCCCCAGGGGTCGGAGAACCCTGGAGTTTGGCACGACTGGCTGATGATAGCTCATAAGCCAGAAATGGTTATCCAAGTCTCCCTTTGTTATTCAACGTATACCAGTAGCCGGAAGAGTGAGTTGAGCCACAAGTCCACTAAATGCCCATGACACGTGATTTCGGCACGTAGAGAGTGAGAAGAAGCAATCGTTCCCGGATGGTATTTAACAAGTGACCTCCCGATGTTGTGTCGCGTATCCCGTCAACTCAGGACATTCCTGCTGCCTCTGCGAATACTGGATGCTCTCCCTCTCTGGCTCACAGGGTGAGTCTAGCTCAGTCGACACCGCATCCCGCCCGAAGCCAGGGGACAGCCTGGTTGATCTTGTCTGGCGACACGTTTTCTGGAGATGTGAGCCCAATGTAAGGGGTTTTAGTCATTGTTTCGTCAGCCAGCTGCGCTCCAAGTTTAATTTTTTCCCCCATTTACGAATCTTTGCCTCCATTCTCCCCAAGTGTAAGATCCCCACCTGAAGATCGGATGCTAGTTCGCATCATTTTAGACGTCAGTAGTACTTGCTCCCAAGCAGGGGGTCTGGAGTCAGGTTGTGAGATGAAGGGTGGTGGGAAACGATGCCGATCGCAGAGTTGAGGTGAGGACCATTTCGCTCTGTCATTCAGCCAGCCTATGCGCAACCGTACATGTAAACACATTCAGCACGGCCGATTAGGATGTATGATGTCCCGGCAAAGGAATAATGTAAGTCTAATGAGATGCGAGGTCAACCAAACGTTTGATGCCCCCCCCCATTGGCCGATAGTGTAAACCCCGAAATGCCCTGACCCGAAAACTGTAAAACAGACTAAGTAAAAGTTACCAACCTGTCAGGTCACTTCTATCAGTTCACTCAACTGCACAGTAGTCAATTTTCAACCCAAGTCATCATTACGAGGGAACCGCGTTTGACGATAGTGTATGTTAGCCTAGGAGCGTCTTCATTGAACCGAGCTTATTACCAGAGGAAATGCAATTGTTCCAGTCCCCTGCCTTCCTGTCCTTTGTCAGCACCACTTTTCACTTCTGGATTACTGGTCACTATAAGACCGTCTGCGGTTAGTGTAGGCTGGATGTGTGAATGCTTCCGATAACATCCGACAGGGCGCAGGCACGCGGTTCAAGTGATAGGGAGTTAACCTAAACGACCAGCCAGGACCTGGTGGAAGTCTGCGATCTTACCTACTCCGGTTAAGCACGAAGAAGTCAGTAGCGGTCCATCCGGCCTCCCTTGTCGTTTAGTAGGACGTAGTAGAACCTTATGCGACAAAAACGCTCCGTTTGGACTGGTTCGGGGTAGGTCGCAGTTAAGGAAGTGGAGGAGCGGCTTCCGGGTTAATCGCTGTTTGGCGCCATAGACTGAGAGCAGAACAAAAACGACGAGCCCGAGTTATCAGGATGCCCAGCGAGATCTTGGACTGTGACAGGTTCACCGAAATAATTCAGTGTTTTTTAAGCTTACTACTTTTATTTCTAGTGTTTGTGCTGATAATGCCCCATTGTTCCGTCATCTTTATGTCACCAGCCATGTCGTATCTCCTGGGTTCCGTACGCTGAACTCCTTTTCGGACAGATCCACCTGTTATTGTGAAATATCCGCTACTAACTCATTCATATCACAGCCCCTACCAGGCTTTCTTCCGGCGACTTGTTGAGGTTTGCATTCTCCTTCTACTGTTTCATTGATCTCCTTCCGGTTTAGTGAAAATTCACATTTTGTCCTCTGCTACAGGTTTTTCTTATCGTCTAGAAGGAAGTACCATACCTTGAGTGTACTCCACAGGCGTCAGGCATCTCACCTATAAAATTTCTTAGGACGTGGTTATTCCGCTCCATTCCGAGTTAAGGACAGCAAAGTCTCCTAATCTAACCCGACGTGATCATCATCCCACCGCCTGTCCAACGTCAATCATTCCTCTTTGATCTTAGTCGTTGGCCGCCTTCCGAGATGTCAGGAGATCTGGATGTCGCAAATTCACATATAAGTGGTTGTACGAGAAACTATTGTTGCAAGGTGATATGACTGTATTTTTTCCTTTGCTTTGGGTCCTAGATATTTGACGGCGTGTGCTACTTCTACTGTCTTTCATAAGGATTGGGCCCAGTAGTTTGATCTCAAAGAGCCCGATGATAATGATGGTGACCATGACAGCAG